CTTCGTATATACACATATATATTCGAACAAAATTATCTGGAGACTTTTTTTTTTTGTTTTTTTGGGTTCTAACAGGAGAAAAGGAGCTAAAACCCAAAAATATTTTTTGGAGTTGGAATTGATAATTCAGTATTATTTTTCTAAAATTAAAAACTAATAAGTATCTTAATTGTAGTTATGGTTCTAAAAATATAATTTCATTGAAATTTTGAATCTACTAAATGGAAGATAGATCAGAGATATAGCACCAATCCCTACTTATACTACACATATATTGTTAATCCAACAAAAAATAATAATAAGTGAAATTAAATTTTCGAATCTACAGTTTTAAATTAACATTTTTATTTTATTTTTAACTAAACTAATGGATTAGGGGTCGGGCGGGATAAAAAGGAACCCTTATATATGTCGATAAGTTAAGTCAAAATATTTTTTATATTTATGCTCCTGTTTTTTTTTTATTTGCCTTTATTTGAATCATTGTTGCCGTTGTTTTAGATTTTTTTTTTATCATGTCTATTGGATTATTTTGTACCTTAATTTTAGGGGCGATGTTTAACTTTTTTCCATGCAATATACTTTACATTGGTAAAAATAAGTATTGTCTTTCCCATCAATGATAAAATATTTCATTTTTACCATTAAGTTTTTAGATACTATCAAATTTATGCTCCATTAACCTACCCACAATCGTAAATCGTAATCAATGAATCATAATAAAAACTTTTATTTGTTTATAAAATTGTAGAAATGAAATCAAATGATGAAACCCACCTCAAATTTGTAATCTCATTACTCCTACAACCCATCAATTTCATTTTCCTTCCTTATTTATTGTGCCCACGTATATATTATAATTAATTTACAATTTTTACTATTTCTATCTCAATCTCTTAATTAGACCCATACAGTTTTTTATTAATTCATTTTATTCTTTTATAATTTATTCTCTATTTATACTTCAAATTTTCAATAGAATTTTCATTACATTGCAGGTAAGTAAACATGACCTTAAAGTACATTCAGTGTAAGCTAGTTTAAGTTTAAAAACCTTATTCGTTAATGTTCAATATCATATTCTGATGATCAAAGATATATACATCATTGAGTTACGCTCGTATAGACATATTATTCTCATATTTTATATTTTAAGAAGCGAATATATATAAATAAGGCAAGATATTCAACATAATTTTAAAAAATCTGCAGTTGCTTATTTTAAATAAATTTGATTTCATTGTTGGTGAGTTAAAGAAAGGAAAAAAAGTATTTAAAAAAATAGGAAATTAAAATCGTAGCTATCATGTTCTCTAAAGTCCAAACCCTAATGCCCGTGAATGCTATAAATACTAGTGTCCGCACTCTATTCCCTTCGCTCGCCGTCTATGGTATCCGGGTGGAATCTCTTTCTTTCATCTTCATTTATCGTCTGAAAATCTTCCATCCTCCGGGTTTCGAAAATTCGAACCCTAATTCCGATTCTCTCAACCTCTGTTAACTGATCCGATCGTCAACGGCTTAGGTTTTTCTGCTTGTTTGTCATCGTTCCTTTTCAATTTTTGATCTATTTGCGCTCGTCTTATAATCTGCGCGAATTTCCTTGAAGGTTTTAGTTTCTACCGTAGATTGAGATCTTAACGAATTTCTTCCTTTTTCATGAATGATTTTCCGCTCATTTGTCCATTTTCTTGTTTCGAATGATTTCAAATGCATCTGTTTACCCTCTCCTCGGTATCTGTATGAAAATCGAGGGGATAAAACAGGTGCAGACATCGAAAGGTTGGCTTACCAGCCCATTTCATATTTGATCTTTGTCCTGGAGTCAAATGGACCTACCGAAATATCGGCCACCATGTTCATCGCTTATTTGGCCTTATTTGTTTCCTTCCAGATTTATTTTCTGAATATTTTTCTGTTGTTATGGCATATGATGAATGACTTCTTTTCCGCTTATTGATATACTGATGTTCAGTGCTGACTCAAAACTCCGCTTATTATCTGATGCCATTACAACTGCTCATCCTATCTCTGTTTTCCTTTTTCTTTTTCCCGCATAATTTACATTTTCATGTGATTTTCTTCTGTTTCTTCGAAATCAGGTTTATTTTAATTTGATTAGTGTTTTCAGTAGTTTTATATCAAGTAAAGGCAGGCAAATGATGTAGACAAATTCTTATCCTACACACTGAAGTAAATGTAGATTACTACTCCGCTTATTATCTGATGCCTTGCTTAATCGTAAAAGAAATTTCAGTTTTCGAAATTTTAGTTTAATCTACTGTCTCGCATCAAATATTGGATTGTACCTTCCGATGAGGAGAAAAAAGCAGACGGGCGGTCTGAATCTGATGCCGTGTTGATTGTCTGCAACTCCCATCTTCTTGGGTTCCTGAGGGTGAGGCAATCTTGAAATGTTTCTATTTAGTAGTTTTTGCTACAAATTTTGTTAAATTGTTCTGGTTTTCATTTGTTTTCGCTATGATGAAGTTTTGCCTAAATTATGTCTGGACATATGAGCTTTGTCTGTGATTAGTTGTGCATATCTTCTGAGCTGAGCCATGATTTCATTTATCTGAAACTCTTAATTTTGTAGCTTGTTCCACTTGCAAACGTTGTTGTTTTCTAGCTTTTGTCTATCATCTTTTGGTTTCGAATTTTCCTTGCTGCTTATTATAGCCACACCTCCATTTTGGCCTTTCGTTTTTTTTTTGAAGTTTGAATATCCCGAGTTAAAATAGTTCGTCGAATTGCAGGTTCAAATCACTTAGCTAACAGATGGGAATTTGATACGAGAATCATGAGACGGGATGGAAATGAACTTCATGGGGCAATTACCCCGTTATTGATTACCCTTAATATAAATAAATCCGGTGCACGTTAAATTAATTTAATTCGAACCTTAACCATTTTTTGGTTTTCAAATTTATCCCCGTTATTTTGTAATCTTAACCATTCAATTTCGAACTTGAATATTGTTGGCCCAGCTTGCCCTGGAAAATAATGTTTTAATAAATAGAGGATTGCAAATGAGAAGTTAAAGAAGAATAAATGGAATTACATGACGTCGACATTACAAAATAAAAAAACTAATTTTTAACGGATTAAGCAAATTAAAATTTAATAATTAATGATGTTAGATTTGTTTGAAAATTAATCAAAATCAATTTTCAACCATCAAATTTATTATATTTTAAATAAATAATTTGTTGATAATTTATTTTATCAAGTTAAATTATTTAAAAATAATTCTAAACAGTGTTTTTAAAATAAACTGCTTTAATTTTTCAAAAATTCAACTTCAAAAATTTTATTTTTTGGTTTTCAAACAGTAGAGTTAATCTTTGCTCAATTTAAAAACCAATGAAAAATAAAAATAATTAAGTACCAAGACAAAAACAAATAAGAAAAAGGAAGGAAAGAAAGCATATTGCATGCAATACCCTTTGTTAATTATTTCAAACTTCAAACTTCCAGCCAAACATGGACTTTATATGTTGAAGAAACCTATCCCCACTCCCTGGACAGTTCAACCAAATAAATTCTTAATTTTTATTTAATAAATTATTTTCATTGTAAAAGATTTTGAAAGAAAAATAAAATGAAATTTTACACTTTTAAATATTGGTTTATTAATACAGCTTTTTTTAGTACTCTACGTTGGTGTGAGGATTGGACTTTCTAGTAAGAGATGAGTGCCTATGTCAGATCTTGTTTAAGGTTTAATATTGGTGTATTAATAAAATATTATAATATAACTTTTTTCTTTAGGGTTTATTTTAAGTATATTTCTTGAGGTTTAAATATGATAAAAGTTAAATTACTAATAAAATAAAAAACTTTGTGATATTCTACTTTATTTATTAAGTAAATTTGAAAATTTGACCTTCTGAAAAAAAAAAGTCATTATTTTTTCCTACGTTTGTGTTGAAAAATCATATGTATATAATTTTTTTTTTTGAAAGAAACCTATGGGTGATTAAGATTTAAAAGTTGGAGAAATTTTTTCATTTTCTAAAATCTTAAACTTAGAAATAAAAAAAAAAGGTGAAAACTGATATTTTCCTCTGAAAAATTCATTTAGACCTATTAAAAATTTTGATATAAAAAACTTTCATAAAATATTTTGTGATATTATATATAATGCGCATCCGGGGAATCGAACCCCGGTCAGTACCGTGGGAGGGTACTATGATACCACTACACTAGATGCGCTAGATGTTTTGGTAGAGTCTTTGTTTTTTAAACTATTTTAAAGTTGTAAATAAAAGACCTAAACATTTAAATGGGTTATCTAAAAGAAATAGCCAAAACGCCATAAAAGGAAAATCTATTACTTCCCTGTTGATATTAATAAAAATGTGCTCTCAATTTTATGAAGTTGTCGAGAAATTTTGAAAAAAAAATCATAGAAGTGGTAGAAATTGTATGATTTTTTTCGATACTTAATTTTATTTCTTATAATACAAGTAATATACTAATAGAAATGTTGCAGCAAGATTATGAATTTAATGGAAATTATGTAAATTGATAAATTTAAATTTAATGGTAGCTTAATTATGTTTTATTAATAATTCTAATCATCATTTATCAAAAAGGATGCCGACTAAAATATGGCTAGTTACATAATGGTAGTTTAATTATGTTTTATTAAAATCTAATCTTTAGTTAATCTTTAGTTACTTAATTGAATAAGATATAAAATATTGATATATAGACGAAATAATTCTAGAAAAAATAGATATTAAAAATGAAGTTGGACTTCAAATTTAAGAGAGAAATAGATAAAAGAGAATTGGAGAGTATAAGAGAGTGGATAATTTCGAGATTAAGGTGTGAAGAAAATTTTGAAGAGATAAAATATAACTCATTTTAAAAAATCAGGAGAGGAAAAAACAAAAAGGATTCTACAACCGTGTGCGGACAGGGGAAAAACGACCTTTCTCCTCTCTCGACACGTCGACATTGACTTATAAATCTCTGCTTTTCCGCCCAAATATGAGATTTTAAAAACCAATTTTAAAAGATATTTTTGGAAAATAAACAAAATAGTTTTAAAAAAGATGGTCGTTGTTCTTTGGTAAATATTAGGTAAACAGATTTTTTTTTGTAGCATTATCGATGTTTTCAAAAAAATTTGGAGGCACTAGTTCTTCGCATGTATACAAAAATACAACTAGAAATATACATCATATTTGTATTACTCACTTTTCTTAATTTTTATTAAAAAATATTTTTTAAGAATTGAACTAAGTTATTGAAAAATTAATTTAGTCAATTATGTACTTTTCAGACACATAGTTTTATAATATGGTATTAATATATATGTTAATTGCTACAATTCTCCATGCACCAGATCACTTGAGCCTTTATTCTCAATCAAATTAAGATGATTGCTACCAAAACAAGTATAATTCAGCGATAATTGACATATATTTTAGGTTGTGAGTTCGATCTCCCATCATCACATGTTGTATTCAAAAGAAAAAAAAATTAATATGTACCACAAGTGATCTTGCAATCATGTTTAATTTATTTAATTGATCTAGGTAATTATAATACTTTTATAAAATAATGATTTTTTTTCCGTGCATAGATCCTTCACATAGATATTGTGATGAAAGTTCTTAAATTGTATGACTTTATAATAGAATAGTCGTGAATTAAGATTAATTAATTTGTCCTAACACATATAACAATAGAAATGAGTTAGAGCCCAGAGGTTTTTTAAAAACTGAAAAAAAAAATGAAGAAACAACTTAAATTTCTCAGGAAAAACAAAAAAAGAAATCTACCAATTGAAAATAATAGTCGATTGTATTTGAAAAAAAGAAGGTTCCATTGGGGAGATATTAAAATTAATATTCTAATTTGCGCATCCCAGGAATCGAACTCTGGTCAATACCGTGGGAGGGTACTATGATACCACTACACTAGATGCGCTGAATGACTATAAAATGAGCTATTAATATAAAACTCTTTAACTATTGAGGTAAAAAAAAAAGAAATTCCGTTGCCGGGAATCGAACCCGGGTCTCCTGGGTGAAAGCCAGATATCCTAGCCGCTGGACGACAACGGATTGTTGAGATACAAAGCAATATAATTAAATTTATTCATATATATTATTTTATGTTAATAAGTATTTAACTTGAGTAATATGGTTGTCATGTCTTGAATCAATAACTATCTCAGGACACATTGCAATCCATTTACAGTCTTGTGACTCTCATCTTCTGATGATTCATTTTTGAGATTGTAAGATATCACTTTTTTAGTTGTATGCCTTTATAATTTGACAGTTTCCTATTGATGTGGCGAAGGACATTTGGAAATTGATCAAGTTAAAGAAATAATCTTAGAGATTTTGAAATTTTTTTTAAGATAACGAAATTCCATGTCACCCCACATGGGTAAAGATATACAACTTAAAAATAATGGGAGATAACTCCCCTTCCTATAAAAAAGTGAATAGCTCGAAGAACCAAATCATACATCTGGAAAAAGAAAACGTTTGGTAATATTTGCTCCTGTTTGTTTCTAAAGAATTTGAGCTGCTTCAAATTTGCAGCCGCTACAAATCATCTCTCTGCAAGAGTTTGCTTCATTACTGCTGCTGAAGATGGAGGACAGGCCAGGTTCAGTTGCACGCTGTTCTGAATTGACAAACTGCAAAAACTGCCATTTTCCATATGGATAGATGAAGTTGATCACCCACTCACTATCATACCATACTTTTGGTTTTGCAAAGTTTTTCTATTCCACCTGTACTTGGAATTGCTCTTGCGTCCACTGTTGTCAGTATTTGAGGTACTGACATCCCTCCAGAGATGACAATTTCTGCACCAAAAAACAAACTTCCAAGTTCATGATCACAATTACCACATTGCAAGAACGAATGTTCTCTTTTTTATATGACTGGAAGTTTAATCTTTTCAATGAATTTGATATACTCTCCCTAACTTGCGAGTTCGGATATTAGCATGAGGTCCAACACCTGCTAAATCAACACTATGCCCAAAAGCCTATGCTAACAAACAACGGTAAATCAAACCTTTTCGATATATTCTCAACGGAATCCATCTCACCCGCCTAACCACCACCTAAGATTCAACTCTTGAAAAAAAATGTAAATATCCAAATGGTTTCTCTTTTTGTCAGAAAGATCATACCAATTCCCTCTCGAACAGACAGATTTGGCCTCAGGATGTCCTTGGAACTCATAAGAAATATGTCTCCAAGATAGAGATGATTGGTAGGCACATAAACACAATAGAGTTCTTCCTCTTCCATTCTGCTCTGAAGAATAACTGAGGAAGTGATGAATCCAAAAGCATATTCTCCAGCACGAGGGTGCCTGATAATTGCCACTTCCTTGAAGGCATTTGAAGTTTGATCTGAGGCCGATATCAGATGGTCAAAATAATGTGATAAATGGATTGAAATTGGAGCAAGTGTTAAGATTTCAGTGCTTTTACCTGGTGATATTGCAGTACTGATTTGCTTTGAGGCCGTGTAAATATAGCTTACAAGTGGCATTTTCTTAATGAACCATTCACCAAGAGTAAGAACAGAAGCTCCCAACCAAGATGACATGAAAATACCAACTAGGAAGATGAATGTGATGGAGGTAACAAATCCAAGCCCTGCAGAAAATTATACTGAAATCTACTGCAGAAAAAAATTCACCTAAATTGTTCTTCTGGTCTTTTGAGGCAGAATAATAATTTAACTTACCAAAAATATTGATCCCTAAGTGATTGTATATTGGAGAAAAGAAACCATCAACAAAACGAATGAAGCCCCAAGTGATGTAGAATGTAATAGCAATTGGTAGAAGAATCACACTGCAAACAACACCCCATAAGCTAAAAATAAACAATACATATTCCTTACTATACTCCAGAAACATAAACCAGCCTAAAGTAAACCAGGGAAGACTGTCAACAAACAAACTTCAAACGAATCAAAGTTTACCCTTCATCTTATAATAACAGGACAAAATGAAATATGATTTCCCATTCATGAGATAAATCCATATCTTCAACAGAAATGCTTGGGTATAAAGAAAACAGCATTTATTCCACAAAATCGCAACATATATTAACAGTTACATATCTTGGAAGAACACCAGAGGAATTACCATCCTGACATGAACTTTTTCGATGCCCAGCTGCGAATGACTTTAGCAAAAGCCTAAGAAAGCCATGAACGGGAGGTTTAGTATTTACCGTTAATGAATGAAACCAATATAATAACCTCAACTTAGAGCATCTAGCTCTCTCAATCACAGTTAACTCGTTTTTGAGAGAAATCGCGGCAGGAAATCGAAAGAAAAATCTCGGATACAAATACAATTAACATTTGGGGAAAAAGGGGTTAAGAATTGAGAAGCGAAAACGGACCTCGCGGCCGGAGTGGTGATTGGGTAATGGCGCAGCGGGTGCGGAGGAAGATTTGGAGGCTCCATTTTCAGAAACTGTAGCGACAGGGATCAGAAGTTCTAGATCTCTTTCCCTCTCTCTAGTACCCATTTTTCTTCTTCTCTCTCTCTTCACTTTGATTTTGGAATCACATTTTGGGACTTTTGACACTCGCTTCTCTCCCCGCGAGAATTAACGAACTATTCGGAACTTCCAACTGATTTTCATTTCAATTTGCAGAGTGGACACGAAAAGCCAACCCGAAAATGGGTCGGGTCGGGCGCAAATAGCGAACCCGACTGGCATTGTTCTCTATAAATTATTACTCTGGCTTTTGAAGGTTAGAAATCGGAACAAATGCTATCTCAATGTAGTTCAACTAACTAAGATATCTATCTCCGACCATAAGATTGTGAGTCGAGTTCGAATTTGCAACCTTATATCTATTTTATAATCTAAAAAGTTATTCAAATATATCGATTTTTAGTATTATAATTCAAATGTTGGGAGTTAGAGTATTGTTTATAATTTTTTATAAATAATTAATGTTGAAAATTTTAAAAAATATTATATTGCAAGAGATATTAATAAGTATGTCTCACTATTGCCATGCACATAGTTCAATCGATAAAACATTATTTATCTCTTAAAAGTCGGAAATTCGAATCCCTACTTTTTAGTTGTACTAAAAAATTGTCCAACGAGTCATTCATGCTCATGATAATGTTAATATATTAATCAATTAAACTTGATTAAACCATACTTGATAATTTAATTATAATTGATTTTTTTTTTCTCGGAGAAAGCAATTATAATCGATTAAACTATACCAAGTTATAATTCAATTATATTATATGTATCTATTATAAGTAGTCTTGTAACAACTCATAACTTTCTAAATTACTCCACAGTTTTACTTATTTTCAGTAAAATTACATTTTAAAATAATTAAAATTAATGAGTTTGAAAAGTAGGGATAAAATTGCTCCATTTGTTTATTTATTTTTAATTAAATGTCATGGAACGATCTTTTAGTATATGATATATGTCTAGTTGAACAATGTAATTTTTTTTAAGTGGGATGTGAGGTTATAACTCACAATTTCATGATTGAAAATAGATGTCAATTCCACTAATCATCTAAACTCATGTTATGTTTAAAATTATAGATAGATGTCAACACCACTAATCTAAACTCATGTCGGTAATTGTTAATGTCTATTGATCATTGATAAAGAAAAATTATCACAATATTTTTAAAAGTGAAAGGGTAAACATTAAAAAATAATGTAGAAGTTAATACCAACACACAGGCTATTGTTTGCAATTTCACTGACAAAAACTCTTTCATGAGACTTTACTTCATTCACATGGTCTGAATATATATCTCTATGCATTTTCTACCTTTTAAACATTTTTTAAAATGTTAAACTAATGACTTTTGGAAACTTCATAGGTTAAAAAATTCTCATTATATTTAAATGATAACACAAAAAAACTCAATACATAATTTAAAAAAGATGTAATGATTAACTTAAATGTTAAAATCTTAGTCCAATAATTGACAAATTAAAAGTTTAAATACCAACTCTTACATATTAGACTAAAAAAAATTTGACATTAAAAAAGTGAGTAATCAATAGAATTATTATTTGTATTGATGGCTAGATTAGTAAAATACGGGGAAAAATGGATGATATTATAATTAAATACCGACAATCAAAATAACTAAGGAACAGAATACATTTGAGAGGAAAGCAAAACACCACCAATTTAACATTTCTTCAGGGGCACATTACACACAATCAGAATTTACAATTTACAACAAACATGCTCTCAGTAGTCAAAGCTAAAACCGATATTATATAATATTTAGAAAAAAAAAATTATTTTCAAAACCATCAGAAAAATATACATATTAATGGAGTTGGAATCTTGATCTTTATCCTCCAGTCGACCTGCTGAGAACTTGCAAGCCTCTCTCTTCTTCCTCAAATTTACATCACATTCACGTGCTCCCACCAGGATAATTGCACCCATTGTAGCCTGCACCAAAAAGCACAAAACAAAGTTTAGCCTTCTAATAATTCAGCCCTATTTTAATAGAAGTTTGAATTCTCAATTTCATCAATCAAACCTTCAGCTTCTAATTTTATAGAGAAAATCTAAACGTTTGAAATGTAAACAAGAAACAACTAACATTTTGTTAATGGATCCTTAGTACTTACTTGGATTGTTGGAGGAAAGTGTGGCAGTGTGTGAGAAGTCACAGGTCCATGGATCTCGGCCGGCGGCCTGGAAGAAGAGGTTCATGGCGTAGGCGGCGTGTGAGGCTATGGTGTTTGGCTCGAAACACGCGCCGCCGGGCTGAATGGCGCTGCAATCAAGCCCTCTTCCGCACGCGTAGTCCAAATTGGCTTGGAGCTGGGCGTCTGATACACCGCCCATCGGCACGCACCATGACCCTCCCCCTGCTTTTGGCTTTGGACCCGCCGGTGCTTTCGTCGATGGATTTGCCGGGGACGATGGAGTCGTCGCTGGTGTTTTGGGAGAAGCCGGAGTACTCTGTTGAAGACGATAAGCAATTCATTCGTAATATTCTTCAAAAATAGAAGATTACGATTTAATTTAACAGAAATTATTCGGGGGTTTTGTGAATTACTCTGTTACCTGGCCACTTTTTGAAAGGCCGACGTCGTACGTCATTGTAAGATCAGGTTTGAACAATCCGAAAGCTCTCTCAGAGCCAGGCCCAGGTTTCAAATCTTCGTCGTACAGCGCAAAGAGATACGTATCCACTGATTTTCCTGGCATCAATGGCGTCCCAACCATGGATCGGAGGTGCGCAATCAGATTACCGTTGAATGCTTTAGCATTCTCGAGACCTGGGCCAACCTCGCCGCCGTCTCCTTTGTACGGCCAACCAGTCTCCGCCACCACAATCTCCACGTTCTTGAAGCCCATGGAGTTCAACGCCGATCTTATGGCATCCACCTGAATCCAACCGGTGGCAAATAACATTTAAGAAAAAAAAGAAAATCCTAAGAACACACAGACCAGAACAGGGCTTGAAGATTCGTGAACTCACCTGAGCGTCGAACATGTTCATGTACTTGATGTTGGTGTTTGTATCGAGCCGCCCGGCGTTGGGCTGGAAAAGACAGAACGCCAAAGTCTCCGGCCGCGGGTCGCTTTGATACGCGAAGTATGGGTACGGGTTAATGGTGAATGGCGATCCAGTCGCGCTGTTGAACTCCAGTAGCCCCTTCAACACGCTCATATAGTTGGGGTGGAAGACCGCAGACGATGGCGGCTCCGATTGGCGAAGCACCGCCATTGAGTGGACAGTGGAAACCTTAATATTACTCCCCAGAGATATCGAATTCAGCGCGTTTTGGAGATTCTGAATTGCCGGCAAGAGCTGGTTCATCAGATTTTGATCATTGGAAGTTATCACCTCGTTGCCGACCGTGATGAGGATGATTTTGCTCGCCGGGTAGAAGGGGGCTACATTCGCGTTAACCCAATTTTGGGCGAAATTCGGGTCGGACGCTAGGGCTGGAATGTCACCGTTGGCAGCGCCGATTACAATTCCGATCCCCGTGTTTGCTAGGGCTTTGATGATGGCCGGATCAGCACCATAGAGTCGAACTTTCTCGATTGAAGTTGATTGAAGTAACTTCGCCGTCGCCGACGGCGGAGGAAGGTTATCGGCGACTTGACCGTAGTTGATTCCGATGAACGATTGCGAGTCTGCAAAACAGAGGCTATTCAAATTAGACTGATAAACTTTTCACCCTTTCTTTCGATTCTTTACTGAAAATTCTCCATCTCCTTTTTCTCTCTCTTTCGTTTTCTTTCAATCTTCCCCTGTTATAGAATCTCCATCACAAGATTCACAATCAAGCTTCAAAAGACTATCGCTACGGGAAATTCACAGAGAGTCCAATTTATTTTCTCAATAAACATAACCAGAAAACGAAACTGGAAGACTATACGAACATGAAAACTTGAAAAGGTAGAAAAATCTCCAGTAGTTGGTAAAAGATTCACATATAACAAAAAGAGAAACCAGAAACTTACAGGCGAAATCAGCGACCAATAGAATGTTGAGGAAGAAGAAAACAGTAGCACGAAGAAGAGTGGAGGCCATGGCCGATGAGTTTGGAAGTTGCGATATGTTGGAGACGTGACGCAGAGGAAGAAGAAATTAAATAGATGGAGAAGCAAGGAAGAGGACAAGGGTAGTATAGTAAAATTAAAATTCGGTGGGCCCTCTTTACTTTTTCAAAAGCGGGCTGCCCGACAAGAGCGGTGAATGAATTCCACCGTTAGAGAAGTGGAAGTGAGAGCTGGAAGAGTCGTGGAAGTCTCCCATGAGTTGCGCGAGTAACGTCGAGCTTAGAATAATAATTTAAAAAACATATAAAAAGCTATATTGTCTATGTTTTTCTGAATGACCCAAATGCCCTTTTTTCTTGACCGTTGCCCAACTTCCTTTTGCAATTGAAAATTGTGGGAGGAAAATTAAATAAACACCTTTTAAAATTTTTATTAGATTTCTATTTTTTTAAACATTATTAAATTATTATTATAATATTAATTATTAATTCAAAGTTTCACCCTTATTAATTAATTGAGCTAAATTCATATTAACAACTTTTAATATTTTCATTTTTTTCAGATGTGGAAATATAAACTAGAGACAGAAGAGATGTTATTGTTGTCATGTTTAATTAAATTATGTTTAAATTGACTTTATTATGTTTTGATTAAACCTACTGAATTTTTAATCTTTTAAATTTAATGCTTTTACCATATTATAAATACATATATTTTGAACCTACGATTATAGAAGAGTTAAAGTTATCTTCGTTAGTTATACTAACTTGGTAGCGTAGAGAGTAAATTGTGGATATGAAGTTGAGCATCATGGTGTAATATTTTGTTCTGTATTAAGAAAAATATTTTGTTTTAAATGAGATGTTGTTGACGCATGGTCCTCCATAAATAATCAACTAAATATTACTGAAAATTAAAGATTAACAACTTAAATGATCTTAGACTTAAACTCAAATGAAGTACTTATATAAGTGTTTGTACTATACGTTGGAAGGAATATTTCATCTTTCTAATATAAATTTACATTTTTTTTACTATCAATAAAAGTAAAATATCAAACAAATATAAATAATATCGTATTTACACCTACTTGACTATAATTCAGTTGGTCGAGACATTTATATCCGACCAAATTGAAATCTCCCTCCCAAAAAACAGTTACATGACAATAAAGTAGATTATTAATTAAATACTAAAATGTGGCTATAAACTGTCCAAAGGAAAAAAGAGAAGAGAGAAGAAACTAGCAAAAAAAATAAAAAAAATTCTCCACGCTTTTACTTCGCCATTAAGAAACATTACTCATCCATCCCATCTCGCAAACGTGACCCACGGACCCCATTTTTCAACGTGCAAAGGTGCTTTGAGCAGCGAGAGAGCAAAGCATTTCCATGAAAGCGCGCTGTGGAGAAAAGGGCGGATTCTCAATTTACTTGTTAAATAATGTTCACTACTTTACGATCAAAGCATAAAGGAGGGCGAGCTTTACGATGGCGGGATTAATTAGTGTGGAAGCAAGCTCGATCTGCTGCATCGGACTTTGAATCTGAGCTGTCATCTGTCAGCTTTATCCGTGGAAGATAAGACAACTTTCGGATTATGTACGGTACGTCTGTTTCCGATCGGAGCTGTAGTTCTAAAGCTAAATTTGTCGTTAATGCCTTAATCAGGTTTCTCCATACGTTCTGGAGAAGGAAAAGAAACATAAGTTTGAAGTATTGATCATATTCCCCATTATCCGACGAATTAAGCCATCCGGTTGAATCGAATTGTTTATGTCTCGGTCTGTATTTGTTGTCTACTGGCTTGCATTTCCCCAATTTCATATACAACTAAACTAAGAATTGATCTATTACAATCTAAGGCGAATGTTTAAAGTTGGAGTTCATTTGGACAAGGCCCAAATTCGGTAAGACCTTCGTCTTCGATTATTTTCGATTGAGTACTACTGGTGTGCTATACTAGATCAAGATGTTTAGATGCGGATTGAATTTCGACGATGGGCATTGATCATCGATGTCATTAAAGTGTAGATATTTGGGTGTGCTTTGTTTTTACCCTCAGGGTCCAAATTAGAAGTAAGAGAAAAGCAAAGTAAGGTAGCAGGACTCAAGTTAATGGAAATACCTCTGGCTTTCCCTAAAAATAGGAAGTATAAACATTCTTGACTTGCACAATTTAAAGAACACTGCTATAACTTATCTGTTACAACTCACAAAACCAACAAACACGAGTTAATGTGTCTACTATTACGATTGGCAGATTTTAAAATCAACCAAATACATCATAAATCGAAGAACTTTTCTTCTCAAATTTCTATGCCCCATCTTTTCGTCAAAAGATGACAGACATGTACAAGGTCTCTTGTAACTTCATCAAGCAGTCCACTTAGGACATGCTTCTCAACATCCCTTACAACTTCCTCTCTTTCAAGAAATACTAATGTGGTCTCATTCCATCCCATGTCCCACATACTATTCAAGTCAGGTTCCTGGTTATAGATATCAATTTCAAGCATTTTGGGTAAATAGTCTTGCACTTCACATTCCAGGTCACCATTCTTACCGTAGAATTTGAATGCCTCAACGTCTCTATGTAACTGCTTGATCAAGTCATCCAGAGATCCTATTTTCTTGGACCTCAAAGAAATGTTTGTGCAAGGACGATTGTTGAGCTCTTGACGTATACCCTTTCGCTTCATGAGCTCGTAACTACAATCAATTGTGAGATTTCTGCCATTTTTTGGATGGCCATGGCCACTTTCATGAAGAATGAAGCTGGGAATGTTGAGTTTGAAAAGTGCCTCTGCTGCATTCAGGAACCATTCACTTGTTATAAGCGTCTGCTTAAGGTGGTTTTCACTTTCTGTCAGTGTCTCTTGTTTTCTTGACTTGGAAAGACTGTGCAGGTCCGCTAAGTGTGAGGGATATAGGGTGTTCATGTTGTATTTTTCTGCTTCTGCACCATAAAGAAATTAGATATTGATAAGAAATACTCAGTACTTGTTCACATTTATGCATTCTCAATTGAACTACTGTGTTCCCTCATGCTGTCCATGCATATTCTGTCTCTACGTTTTGACGCTTGTGCAGGGTAGGGTCTTGCTTTCTCGAACGAGTTTATTGTCTTACATGCTTAATGTGCTTGTACTTGGACAAGTGTTTAGAGTATCTTTTGTGGAGAAGGTGGGGTGGGGGGATGATGATTATATGTGGATTTAAATAGTAAATCTAGGACATATAGAAGATACGCTTACTTCTTTCTATTTATGGAATAAACTTCGCTAGTTTAGCTTACCCTCTACTGCATTTATTACAACTTTGGAGCTGTTGATTTCACCTCTGCCCAAAACTGATCTTTGATCTTGCTGACTGCTAGTACTGAACGGGATTGTTTTCTGGCACTGCATATACTTCAGTAGAAAGATTAGACATATATGAGTTATCTTGTTTGGGATGTGAAATGTGAAGTTTGAACAAAAAGTTAATTTTCTTTTTTTATAACTGGGAGTCGGAGTCTTGCTCTCCTATACCCAGAGATACCCGTACCCACCCCAAGGTTTGGACCCGGGAGACATCATGGATTTTTGTATTAAACTCACATGAATGTTCGAACTTGAGACCTCTAAATCCGTATGACCAAGAGACCTCAAGTCCTTGCCAACTGAGTTGCCTTTTGAGTGGCAAATAGTTAAAACATATTGAACTTAAAATTTTGACAACTTGAGAAGAGTTGAACTTACCCTGTCATCTGGAGCTGATATTTGTGGCTCTTTCAAGCTATGGCATTCATCTCCAGCAGGACTGGGTAGTGTCAAAACCTGCTCAGTCTCTTCACGCGAATCTTGTGTGCTATTCGGTGGCTGGACGCTTACTACTGTTACTCCGGATTCCACCATACGAGCTTCCACTTCTTTAGATCCATTGGCTCCAAGGATTTCAGGTCCATCTAATGCATTTATTTTGTCGTGTTCGATTAAAGGAGAGATGGTTGGCATCTCCCCTGACAGGGTCGGGAACAGCCTTCGGGCTTCCCTGTTAACACATCGGTCTAATGCATTTATTTTGTCACGTTTCTCTTGTTCCACTTCCTGTAATGTTGGACTTTTCTGTTTCCTTGTATATGTTTCACTAATTATAGGCCCCTCACTTTTCTGCATTTTTGTAGATTCGGGGTCATTTTTCACAGGTCCCTTAGCATGTTGCATTTCCACAACTTGCTCTTTTCCGAATGTAGTTTCTGAGTCCCTTGAAGCGGAACTTTGTTCTACGGTCTTGTGGGTAATCTCAGTTGTTTTGTCATTTGCATCATAGCAGTTGTTTTCTCTGGAAGGATTTTCAGGGCATCTATTGTTAGGAACTGAGCTAGAGTGTCGAGCAGTGATGGTTTCTTTGCAGCTTTTCTTACTTTGTCTGACATGGTTCATATCCTGCTGTTTCTTTGGAAATGTGCAAGTGTCATGAACTGGTTTTGTTAAACTCTTGGAAGTGACCCCACTTCTCTTTTGATTTCTCTCCTGCACCATCTGTTTTCCAGTCCTCTGTTTCTTCTCTTCTGTATGATGATTTATTTCTCCTGTCTCTACTTTATGGAGGATAGGTGGCTGCTGGTTTTTGGGAATGTTTGGGGGCTGTTGCTGCGTTCTTGATTGAAGTTTGTCTAGATATCTCTTTTCTATTGGAGGGGTTCTTTCTTTGTATCCTTGCAATATGATTGCATGTTCCGATTTTTTATGCAATTGTGCTTCCATCTGCTGCACTCCGTTCTTTTTAAGTTCTCCTCTCTTTTGATCCCTTTCCGTGGTGTTTAGCTCCCTATGCTTTTGGTGATGATGCTTCATATCACCTTCCCGATAATCCTTCTGAGGCACCCCATTCTTTAATACTTCTCTATGTTCATCCCTGTCTGTTCCTTTTTGCTCCCTGTGCTTTATGTGAAGCTGCTTTGTAAGTCCTTCCTGATGGTCCTTCTGACTTGTGACTCTCTGCCTTATTTCATTTTTGTTTTGTTGTTTAAATACTGTAATGGTTGGTGTTGATGGGCTTGTTTGTGGCCTTCTTCCTTCAATGTCTTTCCATGATGGTTTCCCACGAATAGTGATGGCTTGAAGACTTGCATCATTTGTAGGAAAGTTATTCACTGCTTGTGGAACAATTATGGTGTTCACTAAAGCTGAATTCTTTTCTGATATGGTTGGTCTTGGATTTCTTGAATTGGACCGACTTTCTTTAATATTAGTCCTTGGCTCAGCCTTTCTGGTGATCCCCCTGGCTGTTGGCTGCAGATCTTTTTGTGTGACCTTTTGCTTGGAACCTGAGTCCTGATGTGTATAATTTGAATTGTCTGAAAGGTAATCTAGCCCCATTAGTTTTGCAATTACATTTGAAATTCCCACCTTCTCTTGTGTGTTAGAAGTTTTTACATCATGGCCATAGGTTGCTGATCTTCTATGGAAACTTAATTTTACAGTAGTCATAGGTTGCTCTTCACGGTTGAAGTTTACTCCCTCTGCAGTGTATCTCAGGGTTGCTAACTTCTTATTTTGACCATTTCCTTTGACTTCTTGGCTGCTGTGTGAATTTAGCGAGAATTTGTCCAAGGAGAATCGTGGCTGGTAAAATTTCTGATCAGGTGTTTCATCTTTATTTTCTTCAGCATCTTCTTCATTCTCTAAAAGTACTATCCTATTCTTCTGCTGTGGGTTGATCATGTGCTCTGAAGCTTCATGCAAGTTCACAAGCATCCTCAAGGACTCCTCCAAATCCATGGCCCCCTTCAATAGTTCTTGTCCAATTTCGATGGAACATGTGCCAAAATTACGACCATTAGAGCAGGTTCTTAGAATCTGGTTCAGTTTCTGTGCCCCTTTTGATATCTCCTTAATATGAAGATGCGAGATGGTTGGAAAGTATCCACTTGCACTGTGGTTCCTGTCTAGGCTGCCTCTTTTAGTCATTTTCCCGATTTCAAAGGACCTTCTACCAATTTGTTGCAGAAAACCCAACATCAAATTGTTTCCCGATGAAGTATTTCCTCTTAGTTTTCCTCCATTTTCTAGTGCAAAGGCCAAGGCCATGGACAAGTCTCCTATTTGTTCCGAGTTCCGGCCTCTAGTGTAAGGAACAATCTGATTTGAATTGTTTTCAGTCATCAGTGATTTATTGCCTCCACCATATCTTGTGTTTGCTGTGCTCCCAGTCTTGGGAACACTCTGCATCATATCAATACATTTAACCACAACAAAGTCAGATTCTCAAAAATAAGCACTGTTAACCGACTTCTCTAATTTAAGTTTTGCATACCATTCCATGTGTTTTAGTGTTCTTTGATCCTCTGTGAATTTGTTTCGAGTAAGCATATGCATCTGGAAAAAAAACGGAAAAAAAAACGAAAAGAAAAAAATGACATGAACATTAAATATGTAACTGTTGTTAGAGCTCGTTCATGATGTATCAAAGCTACGTAAGACAATATAAGAGAAATTAATGCTAATTATCAAGTTATGAATATAGCGATATGCCATTAAATTGATCGATTGTGCTACACTGCAGAAGTGGAAAAATAACTTCTTTATCTATTATTCCTTTTAAGTTTTAAACTTCTCTTGCAAGTTAGTGCTGTTATTTGCTACGCTTTTAGCATTGCTTGTATTCATGGAAAGAAGAATCATTCTCTTCAGAAAACCTTCATATGCTCTTAAACTCTCAGTTCTTGAATTTTCTGGGTGTGATCATTCATTTGTTATAACATGGCTTTTGTTTCAGACTTTATCAACCAGTATCATCCGCTAGAAGAACATCAAAAGAAGGAATGGTTTCAGCATCAACAATGTGAAGATAACCAGGCCAAACTCTAAGCTATAACCGAATTTTGTATACTTTACTAACCTATCGTCGTAGTTTTGGAACGGTTGGAGGTTTGTGATGCAGCGGCCATCCGCTCCTTTCTCAATCTGAGATCATCCAACAGCTTCTGAGCAAAATCCGATCTCTTTGCCATGTTGGGTTTGGTGTGGAACTTCTCATCAACCGAACAAGGGAATGTGTCTACATTGTTTTTGAGGGTATTTCTAAGTGGAAGAAGATTGCTGTGATTTCTTTTCAGCTGTGGTTGGAGGGGATCTCTCAGGGTTGGGTGAGATGGGAAGTGTGTTCTGAACCAAAATCAATCTGAGTTTGAAATTTTGGCTTTTAAAAGGTTGACGTGAAAGTCTCTCTCTGTGTTGCATTTTACTTTTATTACAATTTAAGCAACAGCAAACATATTGAAGGGCTTCTTGTCCAAGCCTTCTGTGTCAGCTTTCTTTCCCTTTCTTTCACCTTCTTCTCTTTCCAGGTAGCTTCACAAAATAGAGTCTATTATGGCTGAAATTGAAGAGCCCTGTCCATTTTGTAATGGTAAAATTCATGATTGTCGAGTGCATTTTCAAGAACAATTCTTTTGTTAAATTACATTTGGACCAACTGATTTTAAATTTTAGTCATATTGGATCATTTATTCTAAAATGACGTGTGTTTACTTATAAATATTTGATGTCATGATTCATGTGGAGGAATTGTAGATGATCATTCATCTAAAGGAACTAGGAACTCGGATAAATTGAGAGGAAATTGAAATTGGCTGAAATATTATGATAATGCCTATTTGTTGGCATAGATGTTTATTTTTATATTTTTAAAAACAACGTAAACATAAACACAAAAACAACCCAAAACCTTGAGTTTTTTAAATTTTTGTATTGATAATTTAATATTTAATACTTATGCATTATTGTTTCTTTAGACAATTTGTTATAGGTTATTTAGACTAAAATATAATACTATATTTGTTTTAAGGTTAAAACACACATGTGGGTACTTTCACTTTAATAACAACTTAATCTCGAACTTTAGTTTGCAACAATTTAGTATCTGTATTTCTAAATCGGTAAAATTTAGGCTTCAAAATTTAATGTGAAACAATTTGGTTCCTATAATTTAAAATTTATAAAAATTTAGTCCATATAGTGAAAAAATTCATAAAAAAATTTTAGCATATAACAATTTAGTTTTTGTAATTTATAAGTTAATGTCGTCCTTATCGATCTACTTATATAAAAAACATAACAAAAATTTTAGCAATAAGAATTAAATTTTTACAAACCCTAAATTATATAGAGTAAATTTTACAAAATTAAAGAGTTATAAATTAAAATTTAGGATTTTTTTAAATTTTTTTTTACAACAAGTGGGATGGGATCAACTCACAGCGCACAAAAATCCTCCCTTTTGCAAAATTTAAGAGAAAATTTGGTAGGGATAGAGAATTTAATGAGCAGCAGGTAAATTTTATAATAAAAGGAAATTTAATATTACAAATATAAAGGAATTAAACAAAAATATTTTTATAAAGGGAATAACAAATATAAAAGGATTAAACCAAAAAAAATATATCGAATTTCAAATTAATAAAAAAAGAATAGATGTAATTTTTGTAATATTCTAAAAGCAATTTAAATTCAGAAGGCTTCGTATAATTCGGATAATCAATGACCACGATCTCGGGAAACTACCTCCCTCCTAAATCTCGCGGTTCATTTTATTTAATAGTAAATCTTTTTTTAAATTAAGATTTCCCTATTTAAAGTATATATATCCACGACTCATTCTTCTAAATAAATTCATATGTTCAAAACCCTAGGGATTGTTGACATCAAGAATTGGGGAGCGCTTCGAATTCATCCTCTTCGTTTGATGATTCGCTCTCTACCGCTCTTCCTCTGAATTAACGCACTCCGGATCAACAGTTCGAGTATGGTAAATAAAGATTTCGTTTCGCGGATTAGGAGTTTTCTGCACGATAGGAGTTCTGTAGGATTCGGGCGTTTTACTCGAGGTATGGCCGTGTTTGATTCTGCTTTCTATAGGATTTTTGTTCTCTTTTTCTACGTTTTCCTTTTCTTTTTCCCAGATTATGATTTTATTTTATGTAGTTTTTGTTTCTCGAATGCTGTCAGATTGATTGGTCAGTTGATTGTTCTTCAACGTTGTGCTTACAATCGCTGGATTTCGGAACCATGAGAAGTTCGTCCGATCCATTCCGCATTCTTCTAAACCTCTCTTGCGTCTCTTCTTTGGATCACTGGCGCGCGTCTTGCATCCAGAGCACTGGGGAGTATCGCATAAGGTACGTCCGTGGATTCTTCACAAACTTTTTCAGATTCTTGTTTATTTTTTATTCTCTAACTTGTCTTCCTCAATTATCCGTTTGCTCTCTAGGCTATTTTAATCGATTCTTGATACAGATACAGAGGAGGGACTTTCGATCTTTGCATTTCCACATGTTAGTGTGGCTTTCATCAAAATTGATAGCAGTGAACGCCGAATTCTGACGGGTAAGAAGAAATTGCGCAAGACAAAGGGATTATCGGCGGGGACGACACATAAACTTCATAAAAAAAGAGAAGGCACTCAGCAACAGCCTCCTTCTGAAGAAGACATATGAAACGTGCATGTGGGTTATTTTTTAGGTACTGTTATTGCTCCATATTCCGTTCTCTCATACCATTTCTGGTAGATTTTCGGTTTCACATTATTTTGCAGAGTTCTTGCGGTGATTGGCGAAGAAGTATTCGGTGTTCGTCAACATATAGGAGTGGTTTTATATGTTGTGAAAAATTGAATGTAAGATTGAAGCAAGTCATAGGTTATCGCACGACAGGTGCGCTTACTTGAAAAGATACTGGTGTGTGCAGTCCTGTGCGTAGTCGACCTTTGCCATGACAGGTGCGCTTGCTTGGCAGGTCTAAATATATAAATAAAAGTTTGGTTTTTTGGGTTTCTGGGGAGGGGATGGCACGGGCTCATTTTACTATTTTTGCCCGGCTCTTCCTCCCCATTCTCTCCCTCTCTCTCTCCCTCTATCCCTCCAACTTTCTATTATTGCTCAGTCTTCCCTCAGTCCACTATTCAAACAACGTACAAACAAAGAGGAATGTGTGCAGCAACTCAATCGATCGTGAGATTGCAACCTCGAGGTACAAATTTTGAATTATATCATATTTTGAAGTTGTTATGGTCTAATTCATAGACCCAACTCGATCACTCACTTGAGATGTCAATGTGGCAAAATTTGAATTATATCATATTTTTTCATGGACCCAACTCTCTCGTTATGCCAATATGTCCTGCACGACTGAGTTTCATATTGTTAAGCACAACCCTTTAATACGGAAGAATTGTGTCTAAAATAAAACTATGTTAATACAACTTTTATGCAGACTCTGTTATACAAATTCTCTGAAGTTATGTGTGTTTGACCACATTGTGTTGCCGGAATAATACTTCTGCTGCCAGCATGTTTAGCCAACGTAGAAAGATGATTCAAATGGGCTTTTATTTTGGATATTGTTTGATTTCCTGTATAAAGTCCAACTATGTACCTGCATTATTGGTCCTTTGGCTGGTGAGACCATTATTGGCCGGTAGTTTTACAAAATGTTGGAGAACCAAAAAAACCACACGGTGGTAGGGTTTATAGCAAGACCTGGGAAGAGACTGTAGTAAAGCTCCAACTTCAAGCCCATATGGAATTGTGGAATTTCAACCAGATTTGGTCTATGGAGGATGCCCATTTCTATGGCGAGCCTCAACATATGGAATTGTGGAATTTCAACAAGATTTGTACTATGTATGGAGGATGCCCATTTCTATGGCGAACCTCAAAATCAAATCTACTCGGCTTTGGCAGGTAGACAACTTTCTTACCCATCTTTTTTATATGTTCATTTGATGATGGTTTATTACTAGGAGACATACAGATTGTAGGCCACATTCAATAGTTTTTTCTGTTGATGTGCTGCTTTGTTTTGCAGCAGTGTCCAGCATAATTTATCTGAAAGATGGTTGATGAAGCCCGTGCAGTGCTCGAAGACCAGTGTTTTACTAGAAGTGATGTTAGGCTGTTAGGGATTGTAATTATAAATATATTTTGTATATTGTCGTCTACGTTTCACTTAGGGTGATTTAATTTTTACTCAGATGGAAATCAATGTAATTAGGCTCCTATTTCCCACAGCCCTAGCCTATTTTGTAAAGGTAGGGGCTTCCTTCTGTAAACACACGTTTCTGGTAATTAATAAAATAACTTTTTTTTTTTGGTAACTTTTTAACAAGAGATTGAATGAGTGTTCAAAGTTGGTCTATCATAATTCATCTGTTTTTTCTAATCGTGTGCATATGAAGTGAATTTAAAAGGTTCACTAATAGACTCATCTCTCAATTTTATTGAGTAACTAAAAAAAATTGTAGATTAAACTATTGGTATGCATGTTATGATGTGTCTCATTTTGCGCTTTTAAGTGGTTCAGTCCACTGTTGACAACCTTCATGTCCAAGTTACTTTAAACTTTACCATGTCTCATCGTTAGAGACTCCCACAAGATACATGAAATCATTTTTTTACTATCACAAGCATTTGGAGCTTATATCACAAGCATTTGGAGCTTATGACACTAATTGAAGGCATCCAAAAAACACATAAAGCTGGTATTCATTTCTTATAGAGTAAGGTTTGAAAAAGTCTTTTTTTTTCTATTTAGAGAGAGGGGGCTTTAAGTTCTTAGGAAGAGCCGTTCACGATGAATTGCGATTGGTCTAAACCTTCGAGGCAAAGTCAAAGTCACATGGTAGACTTTCATCTCCGTACTAAAGTACTAAAGAAGTTGGGTGTTCCGGGTGGAGTTGGACGGCCTTAGGTGACATTAACTTTTGAAATTGGTTTCTTTAAGAATTATTATTTTATCTTTATCTCATCATTTTTTTAAAATTAATTGGTTGCTTCTATTCCTTCTATTTAATTTTATATATATTTTTAATATTTTATCAAATAATTTAAAATAAACAAAATAAAATTTATATCAATTGAAATCATATAGTAAATTTTGTATATAAATTGAAATTATATAAAACTTTAAATAATTAAAAAATTTTAATTAAATATCTACATAACATTATAATAAGTAATCAGATAGAGCGAAACTACAAATTTAATATTAATTTATCAAACATTTTAAAAATCCAGGAGAATAACAGCCGTCGATTATATCGTTTAAAAAAAACCGTCGATCAAGATAGCTTTCCATTAATGCCAAATCTAACCATGGGTTATTTGATAGAGAGATCTAAACTGCAAACGGATTTCGTTGTTAAGATTCCACGACTCTTTCGTATATAAATACCTAGGGTTGCTTCGTTCACAAGAATTGGGTCGACATATCAACTAGCGAGCGTTTGGATTCATCCTCTTCATTGGATCATCTGTTCTCTACCGCTCTTTCTCCACAATTGTCTTTTAATATTCTTCAGAATCAACAGATCGAGTATGGTAAATCAAGCTTTTCTTTCAGGTTTAGGGTTTATTGAATTCGGCCCTTTTGCTCAAGGTACTGCCGCTTTTGATTCTGCCCTGGTTATTATTATTTATTTTTTGTGTTGTTCTTCTTTTTATATGTGGATCTTGTTTCTTGATTCGACTTTCCTTTTCTTTTTCCCCAGAATGTTGTTTTTTTTGTGCTGGGTAAATATATTCTTTTATCGGTGTTCAAGAAGAGATCCCGACACCAAGAAAATCGATGAACGCAACATCCTTACGCTCAAGCGATTCTTCGTTTCGTTGTTGTCTGCGTTTAAGATCGTCAGTTTCATCGCTGAAATCGATCAATTATCTCTGATATTCTTCCAATCGCTCTCGATTCTGATAACCAGGCGATCATGAATTCTTGCGTAGATTTGAACTCCGTCCAACGAAGAGCTTCTTAACCTTCCAAACGATGAAGAATTGTGATACCATCTGAAGAAAACATCTGCCGATATGGACCCCTGCGAGCCGTAATAGCCGAAGAGATGGAGTTGTAAGAGAAAGAAGGAGAAAGATAACCGGCTTGAAAATTCCAAGATTTTGATTCTGCTTTGGTATGGCCATTTCTGATTCTACTTTCTTGAATTGTTATTACGAACACCTCCTTCAATTTGCACGCTCCCCATAAAATCTATTGTACTTTCTTGTATATTATTTCTGGCCAATTGAAGTTATCATGTTATTTTGCAGAGTTGTTGTGATGATTGGCGGGAATTCCTTCAACCCAACATTTTTATGCGGTTTTATGTTCCCAACGATTAAAGTCTTATGATATATTGTGGGGGTGGGGATTGAACATTGGACTTCTTAAAAAAGAAGTTGCTGGACTTGTGGAGAATGTGTGCTGTTTGTAGACATGGAAAGGTATATGTGTGTGTGTGAAGCTTTGTTGTCATGTAGTTGACCTTTGCCATGACAGGTGCGCTTGCTTGGCAGGTCAAAATACATTAATAAAAGTTTCATTTTTTGGGTTTCTGGGGAGGGGATGGCACGGGCTCATTTTATTATTTTTGCCCGGCTCTTCCTCCCCATTCTCTCTCCCTCTCTCCCTCTCTCCCTCTCTCTCCCACTTTCCATATTTTTGCTCAGTCTTTCAACAGTCCACTATTCAAACAACGTGCAAACAAAGAGCAGTGTGTGCAGCAACTGAATCGATCGTGACAGTTTAACCTCAAGGTACAAATTTTGAATCATATCATATTTTTGCATAGATCCAACTCACTACTCGAGATGTTAACGTGGCAAATTTTGAATTATATCATACTTTTGCATAGATCCAACTTGTTCGAAATGTCAACATGTTCTGCACGAGTGAGTTTCATATTGTCAAGCACAACCTTTTATACTGTAGAATTGTGTCTAACGACATTTAAAACTCTGTTATACTAAAGTTTTCGCCGGCTCTGTTATTTACAACCTTTACGCAGACTCTGTTATACAAATTCTCTGAAGTTATGTCAGTTTGACCACATTGTGTTGACGGGATAATACTTCTGCTGCCAGCATGTTTAGCAACATAGAAAGATGGTTCAAATGGGCTTGTATTTTGGATATTCTCTGATTTGCTGTATAAACTCCAACTATGGACCTGGATTCTTGGCTCTTTTGCTGGTGAAAAATTATTGGCCTGTTGTTTTACATGGAGAAACCATTTCGAAACATTGGAGAACAAAAACAGCGCATGTTGGTACGATTTATAGCAAGACCGGGGAAGAGATTGGAATTTCAACCAAATTTGGAAGATGGAGGATGCTGATGCTGATGTGAATGGGAGCCTCTTAATCAAATCTGGCTTTGGCAGGTAGCTAAGGAGACATTCAGATTGTAGGCCACATTCAATAGTTTTTTCTGTTGATGTGCTGCTTTGTTTCTCTGTATAACTTCACTGCAGTATCCAGCATCATTTGCCTTGAAGCATTCATCATGGTCGGGAAGATGGTTGAGGCTAGAAGATCAATGTTTTACAAGATGTGATGTTAGGTTGATGAGAATTGTAACTAAAATCTATAACTTTATTTTGTTTAGTTGTTTAGGTTTAATTAGGGTGATTTAATTTTTACTTAGATGGCTATCAATGTAACTAGTTCCTATTTCCCACAGCCCTTGCCTATTTTATAAAGGTAGGGGCTCCCTTCTGTAAACACACGTTTCTAATAATTAATAAAATAACCTTTTTTTTATATATATATTTTTTAGAACAAGAGATAGAATGAGTGTTCAAAGTTGGTCAACTTGCAAGTTCATAAACTAAATTTTGATAAACTTAAAATTAATGTAGTTTGATGGTAAAGACATTTAATCCTTAGGGTCATATCTCCCTACTCAATTAGTTTAGACTATCTTTTGAGTTTGAATCCTCACTCGACATATAGTGATATACAATGCATTTCCCAACTTTAGTGTTCTTTTGACAAATGAAGTTTTCTAGTTAAAAAAAAAAAATCACACAAACCTTGAAGTAGGGAAGGAAAATCTTACACTATTCATGTTTCATCCCATTGGTTTAACTCGCTTTGTTGGCTAGTTAACTTATTGGTAAATAAGATTAGTGATAAGATTAAAATAAATATTTTATGATATTTTTTTTCTTTTGAGATAGTTTAAGATAGGATTTGAAGTCTGGTAAGTGCATTATCAAATCTCTTAATTGTATTAATTGTTGTTTAAATGTAAAATGAATGCATCCCAATAATTTACTTCACAGAGTTGAAACTGCCATCAATATTTTGAATTATAAAATCCAACAATTATGAGCTAACTGACGTGGATATTCATTTCTCTTCTTTTTCGGAAAAAAAAAAGTCAACGGATTAAATCAATGCATCAAGAACAATTGAGAAAGTCGTTGGATTTCTTGTATCAGTAAAAGACTGCGACATAAACTCCACGTTTCACTTTATGAATTTTATTTTTAGTTCAAGTGTTACACGTGGCGTGTCCTTGACCGTTGGTTCATTCCACTTTTTCCCTTCGCAGCGTGCACCGGCGGTGGCGATAGGAAAGAATCTTCGGCACTAGTTCCGCATTATATGTCCAAACACAAAATGTTGTGACAATCACTGACGCTGACCTAAACTACTTCAATACTTTGAAGTAGAAGATCCAAGATCGAGGAGCTCCTATCTTTCGGAACTTATTCTTCTGACTGTCGGCGTAATTCTCGGTTAACTGTGTAAGAATCTGGTCTGAGGGAGAAGGGAGGAGGAGGTGGAAGAAGAAGAGCTTGTTTCCGGCACTGCAGAATTGAATGTGTAAGATTCTTGTTTGTTTCGAATCAGTGCGATCTTTTACTATTTCGACCTACTAGAGCGATCTTATGTAATTGATCGGAAATCTTTAATTTGTTACTGTTTGATTGTTGCCTCGACTTTTGACGTTGAAATGCGCTTGCCTTTCAGTCAAACCCTAGTTGTTTGATGGTGATTCCTCTCTGCTGCTTTGAAAGTCTTCTGCCGGCAAATTACTGACATTTTGGCTAGTGAAGGCTCCGGCTCCATCTTACAGCAAGTTCGTACCTAGCAGTAGAATATTCCTTCTTTTATATAACAGAGAATTAATGTTATGTGGAATGTAATAGGTTTGTGGCTGCAGCTATAATGTTTGGTCGGTGGTCTACTTCTCGTCACGAGGAAGATAACAGTGAAGAACAAACTGCATCGAAGGTATGATGAGTCGATGGTCAAAGAAAATTATGTATGTTGGCCTTCTCTGTTAGTTCTCAGATCCATTTACTCTGAATGGAATGGAACTCGTTTGAAATTGTTTCTCAACTCTGAACTTTTTTGAGTCTGATTGGATCTAAACCATCTTTAAGATTTTCAGGATTATGTGTTGATGAGAGTCGTAAATAAGATTTTATGAGTTGACCTCTGAGCAATATTACTAATGTACATGCAGATTAATGAGCTAAGGGCTAAGTTAGGACCCTTAGTCGGACGAAATTCCATATACTGCAGCGATGCATGTTTAAAAAGATATTTAGTTGCTAGGAATTGGAGTGTAGACAAAGCAAAGAAAATGCTGGAAGAGACATTCAAATGGAGATCTATGTGTAAGCCTGAGGAAATCCGTTGGGTAAGCAAGTGTAAGATAGTAGTTTTGTAGAGCCTGATGTTTATGTAAGCTAGAGGTGAAGAGAATGTAGTGAGGGAGTTTCATGTTGACTTTAAACTAATGCTTTAGTTTATCTTGCTCTTAGCCTCAAGTAGCACATGAAAGTGAGACTGGAAAACTTTATCGAGCGAGCTTTCAAGACCGAGAAGGAAGAACTGTTCTTATAATGAAGCCAGGAAAGCAGGTATTTTATTAGTGTAAATCTTGCTGCGTAAGGGGTGGCCTTGTTGGCAAGAACTTGGGATCTCTGGGTCATATCGGCTTAGAGGTCTCAAGTTTGAACCTTTGGATGAGCAAAGCTCAACTCTTAGTTATTAAAAACAAAAAAATGTAAATCTTGCTGACAAGCAGCAATAATTGGAGTAAAAGCCCATTGCTTACCTTTTTTCTTTATTTTTTCAGAACACAAATTCATTAGAGAATCAGATTTGGCATTTGGTATACCTTATGGAGAATGCTATTCTCAACCTTCCTGAAGGTCAAGAACAGATGTTGTGGCTGATTGATTTCAATGGTTGGTCTCTTAGCACCAGCGTGCCAATCAAATCTGCACGAGAGACTGTCAACATCTTGCAAAACCACTATCCTGAGAGACTAGCCTTAGCATTTCTATATAATCCTCCAAGGATATTTGAAGCGTTCTGGAGGGTACGGTATATGCTCTCCAAGATCATGCAATCTCTCTGCCATCTATATGGTAGATACTGATAAAATAACGCAGACCATTCTTCTACCAACATTTGATCAATGTTTATCATTTTCAGGTTGTCAAATACTTTCTAGATCCCAAAACATTCCAGAAAGTGAGATTTATTTATCCTAAGAAACAAGAGAGCGTGGAACTCATGAAGTCATATTTTGATGAGGAGAATCTTCCATCAGAGTTTGGAGGAAAAGCCCAACTGGAATATGTCCACGAGGAGTACTCTAGATTAATGATTCAAGATGATATAAAATGTGCTGCCTTCTGGGAATCTGGTGAAAAGCAACACCAGATCATCAATGGCTACCCCAGTGCAGTGGTGGCTCCAGAGAGAGTGTGCCTTGCAACTGATGGGCGAGCTGAGCCATGAGACCGTATTAGTCACACAGATTGTCACTTGTAACTGCGGCCTAGCCCCTTAAAATGAGTTTCGTTTAAGAACTTTTCATGGTCTATAGGAGATATAGAGGGAAAAGGTTTGTTGAGAACCCTTAAGAATTTTACTGATCTTGCCTAATTAAACGTGATGGAGAAATCCTGTTCTTCTCACTGGTCATCATAGCTGGTTATAACCCTTCAAATTTATCCTATAAAAGATTGATCGATTTGATTGACTGATAGAGATCCAACTATCCTGAAAACAGTGTTGTTCCCTTCTATCATATCTCGAAAACATATTATTCATAGGAAGATACCGAGTGATACACTCATTTGGTAAAGAAATGATGTCACGATGGCTTCTATACACAAGGTTTGAAAATGAACATGCTAGGACACGATGTTATCTTTACAATGTCTCACAAACTGCTGTCAGAGATGCATATTATTGACACAAACCATTATTGTCTACTTTCTGAATCTACAGGTCAAGACTAGTGAATCCAATGAAATATTAGTAAGAGAAATCATATCGCATAAGCTGCCTTTTAGAGTTCGACTAGTTGCCTGGTAAGTACGCACAAGCAAGCCTACTCCCACACCGATCCCCCAAGCAGATACTGAGTCCAAGTCCTACACCAACTCTCACGCCTGAGTTTAACCAGGATAGTTCACCATATTCTCTTTCCATGTAGTCTGTTCCGCAGTACACGTTACTGTAGTCATCTTCATTGTCTTGTCTGTAACTTCTTTACTCTGAAACCTGCACAATGATTGAGTAGACAGATGTTATACAGAACTGGCTTGAGCATCCCATCAGCAAGAAAAATCGACACCATGAAGGAAGCCATTATTACTATCAAAGAATTGTGGAAACAATGGCAGAGAGCAATCCAATCATTAGATAGATTTGTACACTAAAATTGGTCATGTTTCAAATATATGCTACTTTTTGAGAAACGACACAGAAGAATGGATGAAGTATCAAGAGGAGGGTTCCCAAGGAAACTTCAGGAATAGTGGCGGGGGCCCCATTTTACAATTCTCAACATGTCTTAGGAGAGGGAGAGGCCATGTTTGTCAGATGACCCGGTTCTGATAGATCATCAAAGAAAACTTAAAATAATGGGTCGCAGAACAAAAGAGCAAGGTAATGGTGATTAGAATGAGGACCATCCCAGCTAGCACGTTGCTCCCCAGTCCCTATTGATACTTCTTTCATCGATTCATATGCCTTGGATAAGATTCTAAGTTCTATACAATGAGAGCTTTTTGGATAAGATTCTAAGTTCTATGCAACAACATGGAACTTTTTGGATAAGATTTTAAGTTCTATGCAACAAAATGGAACTGTTTGGATCTTAAAAAAGTAGGTTACAGTGCAGGAAACATTACATGCGAGTGAAAAGATTTTTTGATGTAACAAGGGGCTAGTGAAACTTCCTTGTTGAATTATTTCAGTTGAAAAGCAGAAAGAAATAAGATTCAATGTAGAATCAGAAGCTATCAAGAAGCTTACTTGTGAATCATATACAGGATATGAGTCTTTCTGCCGTTCAGTTGTATCATACTCTGGTATTGCATCCAACCTGTGTTTATGACCGTGCTTCCGAAAGCTGAGTTGCAGAGTTTTCGTTATGTCGACGGGGTTTCCAGAAAAGCTTCCAGCAATGTACATTTCAATTGTTGGACTGACCAATGCCTGTCCTGCAACAAGCTTTCCCTTCAAGAATGCAGCATTAGCAACAACTTCAGATTCACAGTTCATGCTCCATCCTTTCTTCGAATTGCTCTTTGATGCTCTATTATGAGACAATTCTCCAGATTGAATATGATAATCTCCATTGAAAACCTCAAACTTCAACAACTCCCCATCAACTTAATGGAATCAGTGCTCACAAATGTCGCTTCTTCCGAGTTCTTATCGACCCTGTCTCTCCTGAGAACCGAAGAAAAGCCTTCCGAGTAATTGCTGCTTCTAACACCATCTCGTCCAAATGGGTGTTGGTGTTGGAGGGATATGGTTCAGAGTGTTAAACTCCAGGGTCAAACCATCAACCTGGAAATTTAATCAAAGCCAGGGTGATGGAATTTTAATGTTAGATAATGGGTAAGAAGAGCTCATGATCAGCTGCTTCCCCATTTGCTCTTGATTCACAAGAGAGGAGCTCGATCGTCACAGCAACCCCTCAAGAAACTGATTTAGTTTGAAGTGATCATGAAAGTATCTGAGAAGTTCTGCAGGTTGCAACTGGAAAACCAGTGAAATCTGTTGTAAGATAGAACAAACGAATGTAATTAGAGAGAGATAGAGATGATTACATTCGACATTCCAATCAGCAAACAGAAAACACAGAAAAACTGCAGGAGAGAGGCAAATTAAACACCCACAGACGAATTTAGCAAATTGATTCTGAAATCAAACCTACCCAGAAAATTTAGAATCCACGATCTCAATCTGAGCACGAATGTCCATTGCTCTCGCACCCACAATAATCCAGTCCTCAATACCAAATGGCCATTTTCCAGCAAGATCTTATTTACGGTTTCTGAATCTGAAATGAAAAAAAGGTGAAAGGAAGTTATCAGACAAACGACAGAAATTAATTTGTCTTTGTTGGAAATATTGTATGAGACGCGGCGAAGGGAGCATATCTGAAGAGAATGGACGTTTTCTAGTTTTGAGCTTTGAGAGATGAGCTTATCCAATTTGCAGGTGTTAAGACGAGGCCTGCGCCCTCAAGAGGACGGGAGCTTTATAGAAACAGATTCGATCCTCCATTCCACATGTTCTACTGAAAACATAATTTCAATTTGATTATTGTAGTTTCGAGAGTTTAATTCAATTGACTCACTAGGATTTAAGGTTAATAGAAAATAGAAAAAAAAAATAAATGGTGGGTCTTTTGAGTGGATAAAAGACAAATTAAGGATCATTTGTGAGGTTTATTAAAATAATATGAACAAAATTGAAATTAAAGTTAAAACTATAAAGTTGGAATCACATGGACAAAATTGTAATTAAGCTCAAATTATAGATACTAAAATTATAATTTAATCTTTAATTTTCTATTTTCCTATTTTAATCTCTGAATTAAATTTTTTTTTTAATACGACAACGTGTGAAAGTGAGAATTCGAACTTACTACTTATGGTCGTAGATATGTATTAATCGGTTGAATTAAGTTCAAGTTTGTTTCAAATTTAAATTTTTCCGTCCAGGTTAAAATTTTAATATCACTTAATAGGAAAATCTAACATATTTTTGCATATTTTTTTTTAGAACAACATTGAAGTGGTTTCATTGCATAATTCTACCTTATTAAATATAACATTAGTGTGGACATTAAGAAATTGGGCCGAGCTTTCAGGTAAGTTTGCTGGTCATACTGCAATTGGGCTATTGGGCTGTAGACAGCTATTGGGCTGAGCCGCTGGAGACTGTAGCCCAACCTTGGTAAAAGGGCATTAGGGCTTTTAAAAAGTGAATTTTCAGTCAAACTATATATATATAAGTGTATTTGCCCTTTAAACAAAAATTATAAATAAATAAAATAAGTAAACTTTAAGAAATGTAGTAAATAATTATAAAATAAAATAATGAATAACTTTCCATTTTTGGTTTTTGGTACTTGATTTTTCTATTTTTTGTTTTTTGTTTTTAAAAAACAAAAAAAAATTGATAATTGATTTTTGTTCTTAAAAAATAGAAAACACACATTTTGTTAATTATATTTGGTTTTTTATTTTTTGAAAAGTTAGAGAGCTAGAGATAGAAAAATTATAAAGTAGAGATGAAAAAAATAAGATTCGTTACTCATCTTTGGGAATAAGAGTTGGGTCAAAGAATCTATAACGGAGATTCTCACAACGAAAATTATCAGTTTAGAAATAATGTTAATTATCTTTTAAATAAAAGGGATAGATATTGTCACTTAAGATTGAGCATCAAACTTGAATAATATTTTTAACTTAAAATTTGTTATTTTTCAAATGCTAAATAGAAAATTTGTAAGTCATGTGTTTTTAATTGATTAAAAAAATCAAATATTTTTAATTGATTCAAATTTGTAAGTTATATCTTTTTTGTTTTTCAAATTGAGGTTGTGAGCATGGCCATTAATTTATATAAATCTCACATCGAGAGGAGGTGAGTTCAATCACCCTCCCACCCCACATTTTGTACTAAAAAAATTGTTGTTTTTCAAATTTATTAAAATTTACTGTTTTGCAGATGATAACATATATTGGATTTTAAATATAACAGATGATTAAATAAAGATTTTATTCCTTTTCTTTTCTATTTAATATCAAACAAAAAGGCTGAAAAGGAGATCAAACTAAAAATAAATAAACATAAAAATAAGCGATTTTGATCTTTTATTATGAAATAAGCTAAGAGATAAATCGATTTTGATAAGAAGATATAAGAAGATGACCATTCCTAATCCTATTAGGGAAAAAATAATATTTATTTGCTGAGGGATTCCTCTATTTAAACTCAGTCAGCCCCCAGTTCTTGTTCTGTAAATTCCCATCGCCAGCAGTGGCGTCTTGGATTCCTCTCTTCTCTGGAGCATCACAGGATTCTCTATTTTCTTTTCCACATTTTTGTTCTTTCCGTTTGTATTTTCGTTTCTCAATTCTAATATATCTGTATGAATTATTTACTAGTTCAATCGATTTTCTTGATACAGAAAGAATACAGAGGAGGGAGGCGCTCGATTCAATGTTTACTTCTCCAAATCTCGGCGTGGATTTCTTCAAAATCGATTGAACCTTCGGTGGCGATGGCAGAAGAAGACCTATCATGAAGAATATTTGAAGATTCCTTCCGATTGATCGATCGATTTTCCAATGTTCGACATCGAATTAGCGATTGCCAGAGTTCGGAACCACAAGAAGTTCGCCCGATCCACTTCGCATTCTTCTCAATCGCTCTTCCAATGTGTCGCTGCGGATTACTTTTACGGTGCTGTTACTGCTCCCGAATCGCGCTTTCAGGTATATTATTTCCGGCAAATTTTGGATTTCACGTTGATTTGCAGAGTTCTACATTCAAGATTTGCATTCTCACCGCTGATCGTGAGGGCTTCAAAGGTGTAGCATCCACAATCTCTATCTATGTTGTCAATTATAGATAATAGCGATGGGAATTGTGGAGAGGTGAACAGGTATTTGGCTGTGTGGTCATGTACATAGTCGACCTTTGCCATGACAGGTGCGCTTGCTTGGCAGGTCAAAATACTTGCAATAAAATTTTCATGTTGTTGGGTCTGCTTGGGGAGGGGATGGCATGGGCTCTTTTTTACCTTCATCTTCTGCCCGGCTCCTCTCTCCATCCTCTCTCTCCCTCTCTCTTCTTCGGCTGTTTCTATATTTTTGCTCGTACTTCTCTGCTATTGGAACCTGTGTTATCAAATGTACGAACAAAGAGCGGCTTGTGCAGCAATGGAATCGACTGTGAGAATTCAACGATGAGGTGCAAACTGGGACAAGTGAGTTTTCGCATTTTCAAGTATAATTTTCATAGCAATTTTTCCCAACGAAAAGAAAAATCGAAGTACTTTATTTCAACACTGAAAAAGTTTGAATGATTTGGTTTAGCCCATGATTTTTGTAGCATCACAATGTTTTGTCACCTTACATGTTTTATTATCATACGACAAACGGACTATAATTAGCATACCTTAATCTAGAAGGATTGTGAAATTGAAACAACGGCCACACTAATTATGAACATTCTCTCCTATTTCTTGCATTTTATGTGAAATTAGCATATAATATTCATCTTTAAAAATTTGTCAAACAGATTCTTTTGAACTTCACTTCGTGTCGGGTGAGATTTAAATTTGTATAAAGAAAATTTTCAACGGTATGTTTTTTATATTAAATTGGATAAATTACAAGTGAGAGGAATTTCAGTTATTGGTATTTTTGGCAAAAATCTTTAATTTTTTCTCATCTATTGTCTTTGATTATATTATATTTGTTTGTTTTTTTACTTTGAATTTAATTTGAGCTCTTTAATTGTCTTTTCAATGGCCATGTATAAGTTTCTAACTGTTATACTCTCAATTGAAACTTTTTCTTTTTCTAATTGGTTCTCTCTTCTAATCTCGAGGTGATTGTGGTCTTTAATCAGTTTTTCCTTTTTTTTTCCCATCAATCTCATCCTCTTTTTATATGGTTCTCTTGGAGCATAAAAAGAAGAGAAAAGAGTAGGGAAAATCAAAGTTGTTTATACACTTGAATAATTCTTCGTGTAAGTTTGATTGAGAGATAACTTCTTATGTAATTTTGTGAGTTATTTTTTATTTGTGAAAAATCTAAGTCACGGAATAAGGCGCATCCACCGTTGAAGGGAACTCAAGCACTGGTCTACCACACAAAGGAAGTTGTGCTTGAAGTGTTATTTTATGCATTGTATTAACTTTTGATTTTTAATATTAGTTTCTAGACGTGGCCTTGTGGGGTAAGTTGGAAAACCGAACCACATTAAAAAAGTCTTTGAATCATCTCTTTTATTACACTTTATTTTAATTCACCATTACAATAGATTAATAGTTTCTAGATCTATAATATTGAGGACGTTTTAAATAGTTTAATATTTTAGCATGTTAATCAGGTCACTTCAAAAAGTTTGTTTTTAAACTTTTAAATTTGCCTACGATTTATTTCTAAAAGAAAGTGTAAAATAGGTTTTTGGACTAAATTTTGTATGTAATAAATTGTTGAACTTTAGAATTAGTCTAATAGATTAAAATATATTAGATGTAAAATTGAAAGTTTGACAATCTATTAGACATTTTTTAAAAGTTTTGAAATCTATCGAACTCAATTCTGAAAGTCCATGAATCAAATTCTTAATTTAACAAATTTGTTCGAAAAGAAGTATTATTAGAAATACAGAAGAAAGAAAAAGAAACTTAAAAATAACTATTTTCATATTTGTAGATATTTTTGGGGTAGATTTAAACTATTTAAAAAAAATCTGACCTAAAAATTAAAATGATTTACTTTAAATTAAAAAAGATGGAGCTTTTATATTTTCTAAACATAGTTACATACAAGTACGTAGAAGCCTAAAAGAACATGGGTGCCTCAGAAAAGTAAGTCGGGCGTACACGCCACAGGGCTAGTAGGTCTACTTTTGATTATTAGAGAAGAATTGTATTACATGTTCCTATTGTTTCAGCTTACTCAGTTCGTTGGTTCATGTGGACATTGATTCAGATGAGATTATCAAGCTTCTGCGTGGAGATGACGAAGTCTTAACCAAAATTTGGTTGACCATTCAAGAAATCAAAAGTTTGAAAGATTTATGTAGGATAATTTCCTTAAAGTTAATATAAAAGCAAATTTCTGTGCTCGTATACTTACAATGAGAGTCCATAAGAAAAAGGAAAGTGAGATTTGGAAAAAGTTGTATCCCTGGTTGGCTGATTTGTCCAGCAATCGATATCTTCTTTAATTTACTAATGTTTTTTCATCCAGAAAAAAAAAAAAAAAAAAAAATTTTGAGGGCGGCCGTCCTCCCATGTCATATTTCTTGTAATTTCCAAAAAAAAGGTAGGTCTTTTACTTCTCGTCACACGAAGATTTTTCTATGTTAAAAATTGTCGGAGTTTCTATATTTACTTTTTTATTATTAGATTCACACAGGAGATACTTTGTGGACTTCAGCAATTACTTTGTGGATTTCAGCAATTGGTATGTTTTTGTTAACATTGTCACAGTTTGAATGGCGTTGTATCATATGGTTTGTGAATAATAGTAGGTAACGGTATTGTAAGGATGAGAGATCGAAACTCAGTATTCACAATCTCTTAGTTGTAATACATACCAATTACCGTTGAACTTCTTTCATTATACTTAGTTGTTGATGTGCTCTGTCACGACTGCCAATTTTGCATATCCAAAGTTTAAATTTTAGATGATTAATTTGATTTATTTTCTTACCTTGGCATGCAGGTTTGATTTTTTTTTTTTCCTATGAAAAAGTATCTAAATCTATTTTAAAGAAATTCTTGGATCATTCTCGAAGGATTTTTTTTCTTGATACATAAATAAATAAATAATTGAACCTACATTGAAATGTTACAAAGGCAAAGGAGAGAACTAAAATATCATAAAATTTCTCTCCTGCAAATGTCATGAAAACAAAAGGCCCAATTGAAATATTTTCACATTTTCCTCAAATGTTTTAAGACAATGTTTTGGTTTCACGTGTAAGTATTAGTGTGTCGATTTATAGAAGCATTACAAAAAATTCTAAAAAAATATTGTTAAGGTATTGGAGCAAGAGTTCAAACTCCTGTAATGTTACTCCCTCCTCATTTAGATATTACTTCCTCCTCATTTAAAATTGAACATCTTTGTTGGGCCTTTCGCTTAAGCTTTTAAATTGAGGGATGATTTAACAAATATACACCGTAAATCTTTCGTCGGAGAACCAGAAGAAGCATCTCTTTAGCTGGAAAGGACCTTTGTCTTCTCATTCTGCAATTGTGGAAGAGCGTGGAACTTGTTTGGTCTCTGAGAAAATTGTAAGAACAAAAAGGCTTCACTTCAAAAATTGTTAAGGCCGCCACATAGTCTTCTGTGCACATAATATTGCCTCTTCTTTATGAGAATAACTCATCCGAACCTCCCAATGTAGACTCTTGAGTATCCCTTCTAATGGATTCATAATTGCCAGCTTCTCACGTATAATTACCCAACCTCCCGGTCGTAATATACGATCCATCTCAACCACAATCGATACAGGCTCCTTGCACCTACAATGTCGGTATGGTGATTCGTTCTTAAGTTAAAACAGTCAATACCACATGGCAAGAGGAAGAGAACAAAGATGTTCAACTTCTCACCTGTTCTTAAGCCTTGAGAACAAATGATCTGCGTGCAGAAGGTCGTATGATCGTGGATAAGTTCCAAAAGACTCACACCAGTCGTGGTAGACGCCGACCAGACCGCGTTCGAAGATTATCGGAAGTGTATCTGGCACGTGGACTGGGATCACATTCATCACCCAAACCTTCTGCTGCGAGAGAGCAGCTGCAAACCTGTAAAAGGATGTCAAAGTTTCTGTTTTTAGCACAAAGAAATAAATGGGGTAGGAGATTTATCCTTAACCAGGCTATAAAATTCATGTTTGCTATCTCTTGATCGCTCCACTTCACTTATAAGTTACATATCAAGCAGAATAAGATTGAAGCAAAATCTACTGTGTTCAGTAGTTTGATGATATCGTACCCCCCATAAATGGCTTTCATGTCCATCACATTTCGCACATTCGACCAATCAATACCTATTCCAGTAAGATATGACTTCTCAACAATGGCTTTCCAGTGGTTGGTGTCTGCAATTAACTTCTCTTTGTCATTGCTCAACCACTCGGGAAAATTTTCAAGTCTCTTCGGCCATTCCTCAGGCCATTCTGTTCCACGTTGTTCGATGGCAGTTGGAATGGTGTGTAAGCAGGTTCTCAGAGGCACGTTCCTGTTTTCAATCAGAAATTATCAGGCAACAAGTAAATAGTCCAGATTTTAAAGCAGAAAACGAAGCTGGTGCTGAAATTCGAGTAAATAACTTCAACTTTGTATAGACTACATCTTGAATATGCTCACTAATTGTAGACATTTTTCCTCGGGATTATTATCATGTCGAAATCCAATCGCAAAATCTGAACTGGGCAATCTGAGACGTGGACAAAAATTGAAATTGGCCAATGTGGGTTGCTTTCTTTCAAATGCTTCTCTTGTAATTGCCTGATGCTTCTTTTATTTTCAATTATTTTAGACCCAAATCAAACTTTCAGGACAAAAATTTGTATGGCACCAAGGCATCAGGCGGGGCAATATAACTAAGACCTAATGATTTGAAGAATTATAAATTTCTCTAAAGCATGCTAATGAAGGAATTACCAGGCAGCATCAGGGTTTTCGTTTTCCTTGCATAGAGGTGGATTTTTCTTCCTTCTCAACTGATATATATCATTCGATTCAGGCTTCTGATATATCTTAACACCCACTTCACTGACTTCATCCGTTTTATGTGCCAGAATGTTCCAACAAATTGAGGCCGTCAATGAACTCATTGCTGATAAGAGAAATTACAAGCATTTCATAGATGAGGGCTAAGGAAGAATATTAGAATAGTTATAACTCAACAAAAGGAAGAGATGCAAGCAAGAAGAAGAGTGTCATCATTTGGTTAAGGCAACATTTCGAAATTAACTTCTCAGAATTTCAACATCTACCATATTCCACTTACTAAGTAAGTTTCCAATGATTTTCTCCACTAATATTGACAATTGATTTGTTATTAAATCTTCTTATCTTATTTTGAAGTTACTCAACCTATAAACTGAGAACTACGTGGAAGAAAAATTCTACATGCATATCTATGTTTAAACTTCCATAAGGAGTACATAATTGCACAATAAAGTATAAAATAGATAATAGATCAGGTTGCATTAATAATATCAGTTTTAGAGCATAGAACTTCCAACCAAAATAAATAAAGTAAAAGACTCAAAAAAACATATATGGCGAACCTTCTTCATCTTCAATGCTGTCATGTTTAGTGGACAAGATGAAGTATCCACCGGGTCTTAAAATCCTATTCATTTCAATAAGAAGCTTGCCGTCTAGAGAAAGAGATAACAGAAATAAAACCATTTATTAGAAAAGGTTTTCACTCATTTATGACGTGATTGAACTTCAAGAAAGAGATTAGAAGGTGATCAAACCATTGGAATGCCAACTTCTGCTGCATCCCCCACAATGAATGGCATCAAAAACACCACTAGGGAAAGGAAGTCTTCTACTCCCAAAAGGGCTAACCACAGTAGGAAATCCGCGCTCAAGTGCAACTTGAGCCAAGTCCACGAGGTCATCCTTCAAGCCCAACGACAATGTTATAACATCCTTTTCGAGAAGAAAACCCCCTAAACTTGCATATGTGCATCCAATTTCTAGCACCACGCGAATATTCTTGCCCCACTCGATATCGGGTACCATCTGCCAAATGCATTTAAATTTAAACCCATGAATAAAAACATAAGATTTTGCTTTATAATTCCAAACAACATCATGATCTAGTTGCAATATTTTCCTGACATCTTGGTTTGGGAAACTTAAAAAACCTGTCTAATTCCAATTGGAAAAGGAGATGCAATAAAAATGTACATTCTATCATTTTATCGTACAAGATGGATAACCTATGGAGAGATTAAATGTCTTTCACTAGACATCCACTTCCAAATTACCTAACTGTATGAAATGACAAAAATTCTTAAACCAGAAACTTTGAACATCAAATTTAAAATAAGATCAATGTTTGATAGCAATAGTACTATCATTAATACATGAAAGAGAGTAGAACTCAATTGGGAAGTAGACGTATTACATTTCCTAAATCCATAGATTATGAAAATTAAGATAATGGACACAAGTTTTAAGCAAGATGCAAAAGGTTTACCTCTTCAATGGACTCAAGATAGTGAATAACCCCACCATTGAGCTCGGAATGATTCTGAGGAAATGTAAGGAACTCTCCAACTTCCACCAGCCAATCATGCTTCTTGATGAAAGCAGCAAGTTTTGGATGTGCAACATTCTTGTAAAGTATCTGCAGAATTTTTTGCTATCAGAAAGGATGTGAAAGTAATTCACGTATCCTCAAAGTGATCATTTATAACCTAACAAATGATACCTTCGAATTGCTCTCTGGCCAGGGCACCGGGGGCCTGTATCCGTTGGGAGGAAGAAGCACAAGGCACATTGGAGGTGCTTTAGGGCAACTTCGTTCCCTATGTCGATAACCCTGCTGTTTTACCACCCCAGCTTCAATGTCAATACAAGGAATGTAATTGTACTTGCTTCTCGCTCGGCATAGTTTCCAACTATAATGAGCATTTAGATCAAACAATGGACCCTTTCTCTTGACCTTTTTCCCTTTATCTTTTTGCTCAATCCTCTCCTTAAGTTCCTGATCTAGCTCCCCCAGATCACCTTCTGTTTCAGCTTCTTCATCCTTTAATTCTGCTTCTTGACCATCCACCACTTCCTGTTCTTCCTCCTCATTTTCCTTTTGTGTATCTTCTTCATCAGATTCCTCTGATCCTTGATTCTCTTTTTTTGCTACTTCTGATTTATTTTCTTTATGTTTCTCATTTTTCTCCTTTGCTGCTCCATGCTTCTGTCCAGATGCATGATTACGTGGAGACTTAGAATCAGAGCCGTTAACCTTTTTCAAATCCTTTCCATCTAGATCGGATTTCACTCTCTCTTTCCTATCTTTGCTCAATTCACCCTTATCTATTTTCTTCCTATTATCAACTTGAGCTCCAGAATTTCTTGCCCTCGTGTTTCCTGTTACGGGTTCACCAATGTTGTCGAAACTTTCCCTCTGAATCGTCACAGACGTGGAAGGAGAAGCAAAAATAGACCAAACGACTATGAAACAAAGGCCTAAAATAACCACTGCTGTCAACTTCGCGCACAATCCATACGAACGCTTTGCTTGGCGAGCCAACCGAGCTATCGCCATCTGTCCCTCGACAGATACGGAAATCTTAAATTATAGAAATACTAAGCAGACAGAAATCCGATCCAAAGATAGAACTCACAGAGGAGAGAACGCATCGGAACTAATAGAACACGATTGCGGGAATAGAATTAAATTACTTTGAGGAATATAGAAATCTGGAGCAAAATACAAAGATCCGAGAACCTTACAATTGAAGTAAGAAATCCGAAGTTACCATCTGAATCAAAGCGAATAGATAATACTCGTCTTACTCTTCAATGCGAAGCAGAATCAACATCCAGATTCAAACAAGGAAAAGTCCAGCAAAAGGAAGAGATTCAGATAGCTTGCTTGCATTAGCAGCAAAACATCAGATCCTGGATTTTGAATAACGAAGAAGTAGCTGAGTTTAATTCCCAAGTAGAAACATGAATTGTTCAAACCATCGCTCTCGTGGATGAATACTCCCTTAAAATTTAAAAAAGAGAAAAAAAAAATAGAGGCAAGTGGTTTCGCCGGAACCAGGAGCTAGCGTGAGAACTGTGGAAGAGGCCGGAA